AGAAAAAAAAAAAAAAAAAAAAAAAAAAAAAAGGAAGAACAACATAATAAGTATCAATGTCGTCAAAGTTTCAGGATTAAGATATTTACAATGTAACATACTTTTATTGTCTAAAAGATCATATCTACACAGTCAAGTGTTGTAGGGGTAAACATGCAAAGCAAAAATTATCTTATCTGGTTGTAAGGACTCCAAATAAGATTACTACAGTTTCAAACTATATCAAGTATTTATTACAATTCTACTAGCTGTAGGGATTACTGCATCTTTTAGCAGGACCCAAAAAATATTTGTTTATTATACCTACCTAAAATCCATATCCCGGACTGATTTGTGAGCTCTTGGTTCATCCAAAATCATGCGCATACCAGGCCACTCCATAATTCTGAGATGTCCATCCTACAGTTGTTAAAGACAGAACTCAAACAGGATCAAACTCAAAGTGCTGCATAGAACATAAAAGCAATTGGTTGGATTCAAGAGTGATGCTTACCAACCCACCAGCAGCAAACTTAGACCCATCAACACTAAAAGTAATGCAGTTCTGGGGACCAATACCCTGTAGAGGAGCCAGTTCCTTAGCCAACAACTTCATGTTTGTTTCACGACCATACAACTCAAACAATCTACAAGCCATTGAGAAATACTTCAATCTATATATGTTCACTATAGTATCTATTATAATTAAGAACCATGGAAGGATCTCACACCCAGGACTAGAAATATAGAAACTAAAACATGTAGTTCGTCGACTGGACCAGACATGTGCGGCAAGTCAAACATCAGGACTGAATAGGCTTTTGATATGATATTTGAATTGGGAGTTAAATGGGTCTAACTCAACCTCAAAAACTAACTCAAATGGGAAGGATTGCCAAAGTCATTATAAAGAGTACCTTGGCCATATACCTAACTAATGTAGGATCTCATCACAGTATCAAAGGAGGATACAAATCATCCGATGAAAATAACTCAAGGCAAAATTCAGCTATCTATGCTTAAGAAACAACATAACTATTATGTCATACATTCACCTAGTTCCCAGGGGGAAAAAGAGGAACAAGAAATTTGGCAGAACTGAGCCTACAGTTTTATTGTCCTTTGAATAGTTAAAGGGAGATAAAATGTTGGAGGTCTGATTCCGATATTACTGAAAGTGGTACTAACCGCCAATTTTAGAAACTGGAAGTTGAGACACATCATGAAAGTACTTTTCAATGGACGAATACAGATAGAAGATCAAACCCAAAGATCTAATCATAGAAACTTACTTGCAGCTACCATTGCTTAAAGCGCACACAAAATCATCCCCACTAGGATGAACAGCAATAGCAATAGGATCACCTTCCTCCGCTTCCAACACATAAGTGGCCTGAAAATATCGATCAAACAAAAAGATCATTAAAATAAAAGCTAAAGCCCCATCCACACTTTGCCTCCATTCATCAACCCAGAAACTCAACACTAAAAATGCTTTTCAACTACAGAAATTGTGCACAATATCTACTTCCCCCAACCATCTGCTTCAAGTGGGAAAAATGAAGAGCTTCCCGGCCAAAAACCAAAAGGATATGCACAAAACAGCTCATGTTTCAAATGACTCACTCCACAGAATCTACATGCTCACACATAGATAAACACAACGCATAAAGAAAACAACAGTTACTCAGCTTACAATAAAAAAGGGGTGTGCAAAAAAACAGATTAATATTTCAAATGGATCACTCTATACACAATACAAACACACGACACCTGCATACGTAAACAGACAACACCCACACATACATACTTATATTCAAAGTTTTAGAGAAATACCAGAGGAGAGGTAGACAAAGAAGTGGTCTTAGGAGCGAAGGAGAAAATCTCGAGTAGAGAAGGACAAGAACTGCCACGTCTGGACTTTCCTAACACCACCAAATTCAGATTATCGGGCCTCCGAATCCACGACCCGCACGTAACCGGACCCTGCGGTGACCCTGAATCATTCCCCATAGATAGTGTTCGAAAATTAGATACCCAGATCCCAAGTTCGCTTCTTGTTCCAATTGGGGTGCAAGAAATGAAGCTCTTCGGAGATCGTTGAATTGGATTCTTCAGCAAAATTTAAATAGAAATATCAGAGAAGAAGAAGAAAGCCTCTAAAAAAAATAAACAAAAAAGTCAAAGAGGAAAAAAGCTTTGTCTTGTTTTATTTAACTGTTAATCAATTAATTAATGAAACAAGGGACAACCTTCTGTGATATTGCGTTTTAAGATTCCTGAGTGTGATTATGATTTATGGGGTTTTAATTTGTGAGCGAGATGTGTAAACATGTTAGGGAAATTTATAGAAAATAAAATAATTAAAAGATAATTAACTTTTAGGGTTTAGAAAATCAAAGCGATTTGTTTAATGGGAAGGAGATGGGTCCGTCCAGTAAAACAATGATGAAACAAACATTGTCAACAATGGAAATATTCGCCAAAGATTCCGCGGCATTAGCTCGATGTTGTTGTTGTGTGCCATACAACAAGTTCATGTCTATATTGGCACAAACAATGTTGATTAGATATATAGATTTGGACGAAAAATTTCATCCGATACAAAAATTGATTTACATAGTTTTGTATATATACAAACAAAGGGTTACTTTACCCGTATGTTGAAATGTGAGATTATGATAATTAATTAATATTATAATTGTGTAATGTAATAATGAATAATCATAATAATACCGTGTTGGTGGTTGAATCACAAGTGTTCCTCTAAGAAAGACGAGTGGGTGATGCAAATGCGTTGCTAACAGAAAGCGACGACGTTTTAGTGAGAGAAGGTTGAGAGTTGGTTTATAAGCGAATGTGAAAGGCGGCAATAGATTTGAGATAAGGAGGGAGGGAGAGGGTTTCATATTATTATCTCTAATTCTCTACATACTCTCCAATTTATTTAATTGAATTAGAATTTGATTCAAACATAATCACAAATTATCAAATATATAAGGATATTAACTTTTATGATAAAAGCTTAATGGATTTAAGCTTAGTCAATTAAATTAAATTTCAATTTTCATGCGATTTTTATTTATGATGATTATTATTAAAAATCAATAAACTTATTATATATAATATTACGTGTTTTTTAAGTTATATATATTGTCTTTAATAATCATTATTCATTAGGATTAAGATTTGAGATAATTAAGAATATGAGAACTTAATTCAATCTATTTTTGTAATCTTTTATATTTTTTATCAAAAAAATATATTATTTTCAACAGTTAAAAAAATAAAAATATTATGATAAAATCTTGATATTAATTGGAAATGTTACAAAAATAATGATAGGATTTGTTTTCTTGTAAAAAAAAAAACTTGTTGTCTTTTTTATAATTTTTATATAGATTTTTTTAATAGAAATTTTGCTTTTAACATTTGAGGGTAAAAATACGTTAATAAAGTAACATTAAAGTACTTTCTTTTTGTTTCCTCATTGTATTTATTGAAACTTAATACTTTAGTTCATCGTAAAAGATATTTTGAGGGTAGCAAGTGTTTTTATTTATTAAGACATATTATAAATTAAAATAATTACTGAACATTTTAATACAAAATACAATTTTAATGTCTATTTAATAACTAATTAGTAGTCTTAAGATCAAGACCTTGGTAAGTAGTTATTTTATATATTTAAAGAAAATAAATTTTGTTGGTTACGGTGATTCTACTGGCATTTAAAAATAAAAAAAATATCTCGCATGGAAGTTGTGTTAGTTTCGATCAAAAACTACAAATTTTAACGTAGTTTGCAAGTTCTCACTACAATAATAAAAACAAAAACTCTTTTGCCGTTTCGCGTTCTCTTACATGTAATTTTGTCTACTGAAATTTTATCTCTTAGTTAAAAATAAGAAAGAAAAATTAAATAATAAAAAAAATAATAGGATTTGATCATTTGATGACGGAAATTTTTACCGAAGATAACTCTGAAGCGAAAATCTTATGTGAGATAATACACTTAACTTTTTGGTGATGTTAGTCTTAATAATATATATATATATATATATATAATTAATTGGATGCTATAAAATAAAGGTAATGATTTTTTATTAGCAAAATTTACAACGACGCAATAGGATATCAAATTAGGAGGTTATGGTTATGTATAAGGGATGTTAACGGCGGGAGTGTTCTACAGTTATAATTATCATTATCTACGAATATATGTAAATATTTTTGGATATTTATTTTTTTAAAATATTTCTTAAGAAATATTTTAATATTAATTTTTCTTTATTTTAATATTTTTTTAAAAATAATAGTTTAAAAGTTAAAATTTAAATTATTAAAATATTATACACTGTTTTATTAATTAATATTCTTCAATTCAAAGATTAAATTAATTATTAAAGCATTTCATTCCCATAAATTTAAACAAATTTAATATGTATTTGAATATTAGTGGATACTCATGATAAGGATATTATGATGTTTCATATTCATCCTTATTAACATATAAGTATGGAAAGTATTTGTATTTGTTATCGCGGACATTCATCTTTACTACTAAAATCATAACACAAACTAATTTATACGAATCAAATGTCATTTTAGGTTAGATTGGTCTAAAACTTATATTTTTTGGGCTATCATTTTTTGGCCAAACCTAACTCATGTCAAGTCATTGGACTAAATTGACCTAATTAAAAAAAGTACATTAAAAAAATGAATATATTTTTTATAATAAAAAATTTGTAATATCATTAATTAAAACTATACACTAATTACATATGAATAGCCATCTAGTCACAATTATGTAACATTAGTTAATTACATATGTTCATATACATCAAAATTAAAACATATTTTATCCATAAACAATAATTAATACTTAACTCTTGTAGTTTTCTTGTTTAATTAAAAAGACTTTATTGTGATTAACATTTAGGTTTAAAATCATGATTTAACATTTCATTTATTGTCTAGACCCCTTCAAATTTAGTATAAATGCATTGAATATCATGCTTGATAATATACTAAGCAAGTGCATCTCTATAAGTATTGTGATCAAATTTTTATTGTTTTAATAAACTAGCTTTGTTATCCAATGTAACTCCAATATTTTGTTACTTATGATAACTAATTTATATAATATGACGTCTCAAATGATTAGTACTTGAAATAAAAATAGAAAAACTCTCATAGTAGCTAACTCTAGCTATAAACTTATGATAATAACTTTATAAGCAAACACAAAAGAGTGAAAAATTATTCTTATTATTATATTTTATTGCATTATTTTTATAATGCATTACAAGTTTACAGATTAACAGTAGTGGCAATTTAGATTGTTTCCCTTATTAGTTTAATGGGTCATCCAAATATGGGTCAATTTGGCCTGTCGAACTTAGTAGGTTGTGTCAAATTAACCTAATTCTATTTAGGTCATCATTTTTAAGACCTAACCTGATCTTATTTGTGGACTAACAAGGTTGGACCACTGGATCGAACCCAAATTGACAACTTAAGACTATACCATAACACAAAGTCCACAAAAATAAACATAAACTATAATTTCATGAAACGATAAAAACATAAATCACTTTTCATTTTCTACTTCAAGAATATTAAATACACTATTAGAAATCTACTCCACTTTTGTGACAATGAGAACCTTTGGAATTAATTTTGGAAACGATAACCTTCTCACAAACACCATAAGTTACGAAATATTCACAAATAATATTTTTAAAATTATACAAATTGATGGGCAACCAACTCTACTCTACCATTGTGTCTAACGAATTGGCAAGTTAGGTAAAATAGATCAAATAATTTAAATGTTTATCTCACTCCACCAATTTTTGATAGTCTAGTAGGATAATCCACCGAGCAGTGTCTCACTTTGTCATCCTAATTATTATGAAAGTAATGTTAATTGTTTTTTCTACAATAACATTTAAGAGGTATCATTATTTTGTATCTCTTATATATATATATATATATATATATATAATATTAGTTATTAATCTCTGCACTATTTTCATTTGGACTTAAGTATATTTTTAGTCCCAATAAAATGAACATATTTTGATTTTAATCTCTATAACTTTTTATTTGTTTGTTATCCTTATAAAATTTAAAATCATTATTTTAGTTTCTAATAGTGTATGACCTTTATTTTTAAAACTATTTATGTATTCATTAGAAACTTATGTAACCATATCAAATAGTACCCACAACAGTAGGTAACACTTTATTTGCATATGACACTTCTAAATTACCGTTTTACTTATTCAAATAATAAGTTTACTTACTGCACTTAATAACTTATGTTGTATATAAAATTTTAACATTTAAATCATTAAATTAAAAGTTTATAATCAAGTATGCAAAAATATTTAAAATTTTAAAACTATTTAATACATTATTTCATTAATTTAAACTAACGTATAAAATAATTCTATAATTGTCAATCAATTTGAATTAATGAAATAGAGTATTTAATAATTTTAATATAGAGTTGAATTTATACATTGAAAATTTTTAATTTAATATTAAATTGTTAAAATTTAATATTAAACATTATTTATTGAGTAAAATAAGTTTAGATATATAATAATGAGTATATATATATATATATATATATA